AGCACAGATCAATCCTATGCTTATCGTATTGCCCAAGCAATAAGATCAGGAGAAGTGCCTCAGTCATTGGCTCTCTTGGAGATTGGACCTGTCAGTCACAGCCGTTGGTTAACTACAGCTCTTCGTTTCTGCAGGATTTGGATTTCCAAACACGAATTGAAGGGCAAAGTGCTGAAGAATTTGAGGTTAATTGTTGAATTTATTATTGGAGTTTATCTTCCCCAGTGGTTTAGTGTGAAACTTAATCCTATGTGGGTGGATGGGCCCAATCACCTTTTGTTTCAATTGCAGCTAGTAAGAACACAGAGGAAGGTAGTGAGGGACATCGTGTTACCTGTGGCAAGAAGGTCCGCTTGGTATGCTCGATCAGAAGCAGTTTTGCAAGCAATGCTTTGCAGTCAATGTACCAATCTCCGAACCGAGGCTGTAGAAGTCATTCTAAAGATTAGAGGAACGCTAATAGATGACGACCAGTTGGGAGACTGTTCGTTTCATTCAAGAAAAGTTCCCCCAATAAACGTCAATGCCACCAAATTGTCAGAATTGGTTGACTTGAGTTTGGAAGTCTTAGAGCCACCATTGACAACAAGTCTAACTAGCCAAGAATTGAGAAACCTTAAAGAGACTCCAATGCAGGTGCCGAAGTGGCCTTCCCACACTCAAAGTGTGGAGAGATGTGTGAAAATGGTCACAGAAGCAGCGGGCCATGTTTACAGCCACGAGAGGCGAGAAGGTTACATCAAAGCACAAATAGCAAGCAGACTACTGATGACAAGAAACCAAAGCAAAGAGAGTATGAAGGCATTGGTTACTTTCAAATAGACTACGGATAATAAAATATAATAATTTGAAACTTGAAACAGTAACATGTGTGCAAACGCTGGTTATGTTATAAATTCACAAATATGTACATTTAAAAATCCATTTGATGTAGGTAGGACTTATTATAAAAAAAAATTTATGCCGGAATATTGTTTTGCATGCTTAAAGACTACATTAAATTGCTACCAAATTACTCGATTTTCAATTTAGCCAGTTCACCCCCTAAATTGACACACCCTACTATATATCATCAATATGTAAAATAAATTTCAATATGACCAATAATTTCACTGTAAAAATGGAAAAAATAGTTTATGTTGAAGAGAGCCTGAAGCAAGATGTTACCTCCACTGAAAAGACAGAGACTGACGCCTGTTTGGTGTGTTGACAGGCTGTTTGGCGTGCTAAAAACTAGTTTCTCTGTACTTCAATTATGTTAAATAATTGTTAAAATGACTAAAAATTTTAATATAAGACTTTTAAAATTATTGAATAGTACAAACTTCTTGATATTTACTAAAATAGTCAGGAATTTAAGCCCTAGAACCAATTACTTGTACTGTATTGAAGGACTAATACGACAGCTAGTGAGCAAGTGAAAACATGATGAGGGTTTCTTGTAAGGAATTCGTTAATCGAGGGATTGCTCGTTAACCGAAGTGAAGAATCTTATGGAAGGTAATTCGTTAACCGAGGGATCACTGTACTGCATAGGACATGCTGTTGATTTCTAATGTTACTGAAAATCGATTTGAGATGTTGCAATGTAACAACCACAGTCTTACACGACAGTTGGCCA